AAAAAGAAACCTCTTTAAAGAATATGTTATAGGTATCTTCATGTACTTCCTATTATATCCTGTTATTTGACATTTATCCCTTTATCTCACCATTAATGAAATGCTCAGGTGATTAAGGTGAACATGATCAGATCTCTCAGTTTATAAAATTGCTTTGATTTTTTTCATTTTCTTCCTGCTAGCAGGTGATCTGGAGAGAGATTTTGACATCAGTTGAGATACAGTTTTTATTAAATCACATAACAGCTTTAAGATCTTTTAAAAAGGTTGCAAAATGAAATTTTCTAAATCTGTTGTGTTTTTTACATGTTTTAACTGGAATTCTTCTATACAGAATATTCTCCACACGCTGGAGTTACGTGTTAATCCCAAAATATATTTTTGAGAAAGGCAGGTTAAATGTTTAATTCTTTATCTTTACCAACTTTCAGAATAAAGAATTAGGTACAAACCACCTTCATTGGGAACAAATGTTTCTTCAGAGAGGATCAGGCCTTTTTCTTTTTAAAATTATTCTTATGATCCCATTGATTTTATGTATGTAATGTGACTCAAACAACTATAATTGTTATTTTTAAGTTAAATTTATTTTTGCTGCTCACTCTTACAAATACCTTTATACACTAATTATTTTAATTGCCAGAGGGCAGGTGGTACCTTTCACCAGGAGGCTATGGGGCCAGCCCTGTGTGTGTGGGTTTTATGTACTGTTACTTGTAGTGTTATATAGCCTTTTCTTTAGGCATTGTCTGTTTTCTGATATAAGTTACAGTAAATCAACATAGTTTAGCCCCTTCTTAACCATAATTCCATTTTGGTCATACCTTTTTTAATGTTTATCTTTCAGATCTATTTTGCTCATCAAGTTTAAATGGTATCCCATGATGATCGTCAGTTAACTATGAGATAACTTTTCCACACCTTAGTTCTTTCATCTTATTCCTGTCTTTGATTTCCTCTTAGATCCACAGTCAAATGGTTTCTGTGCTGTCTAACAATCATTTACTGAGAGTTCCTCAGCCATCCTTTGGTTGGATGACACTAGTCTTCAATAGATTACTTCAGAAAACTAGCTATGGGTGTGTTGTTACCTGAACACATGTTAAAGCCTTTTCTACAGCCTCAAAAGACTACTTGGCTGCAATCTTTGGTTCGTTATTTGTTTTGTAGGGCTACCTTAACACATTATCAATACCACAATCTGGGTAGCTTAAAAACACAGGAATGTGTTTTCTTGACGTTCTAGAGGCCAGAAGTCTAACATCAAGGTGTCAGCAGAGCCATACTGTGTCTGTAATGTTAGAGGCAGCATGCTTCTTTGCCTCTCCCAGTTTCTGGTAGCTCCAGCATTTTTGGCATTCCTTGGTTTGTAGACACATCACTCTGATCTCTTCCCCCTGTCTTCACAAAGCTGCCTTCTTTCTGTGACTCCTCCTCTTTTCTTACAAGGACACCAGTCATAGATTTAGACCTGACCTAATCCAGGACCTCAGCTGGTGCAAAGACCTTATTTCCAAACAAGGTCACATTCTGAAGATCCCCGGTGGGCTTGAATTTTGCTAATACACTCTTCCACTTACTTTACATCCTTTTTTCTTGATTAACAAACTGGGGTGTGTCTGGGGGTGTGTGCATGCACATGTACATATATAGTTTGTGTTAAACTCATGTCAGCAACAAGGTTGATACTAACCCGATTTTCTTTTCTTTGTAAAGTGTCTTGGTCTTTTTGTGTGGATAAGTGTGGAAGAACTTTCAGTCTAATGATATAACCAGCATGCCTCAGTTAGCATTCTGGGACAGAATTAACAGTGGGAGCATAGTCAAACTCAATGGGACAAACATGTACTTTAAAGTAACTTAGTTACTTATTAAGATAGTCTCAGCTATAACCAATTATATGTCAATAATTTTTAAAATTTAAAGCTATGCTGTGGTTTTTTTCCTATGGAATCACATATTCAGTATGTGCCATTTTTTATGGAATGCCATATTATATTGAAGCTAAACACCAACAAATTTCATGTAAACACCTAAGGAAGCCTGATATGAATGAGAAAACAAAAAAGTAACACTACCACCCTAAGTCACTTTTGTTGATTTCCCAAGTTTGTCTCTTGATGTAGACATTTAGGCCATCTTTTATTTTATGGACTTGATTGTAATTTTAAAAATTAGTTTTTTAAATAAGTTTTTATTTAATGTATTACTATTATTATTGTTTTAAATTTTCTTCAGGCCACGTGCACTCACCAGAGAGAGAAACAGAGAGCGAGAGAGAAAGAGAGGGAAAGTGAGAAAGCCGGTCAAAGCAAGCCTCCAGGTTCAGGATTTGAATAGCTGTCTGTCATGTGCCTTCACCACCACACCACCTGCTGGCCCCAGAGATTAGGTCTATCCCATTAGTTCGTTATTCTGTTTTGGGGACTCCTTTTAACATGCACAAATGCACACGAACACACTTTTTCACTCACTTCCATGTTTACCATTTTCTGGTTCCTTTTACCTATTGACTTGTTTTACTTTTTTTTTTTTTTTGGCTGTTCTCATTGCTTGCCGTACTTTCAAACAAATCTGTCATTCTTTGTATATCCTAAGATTAATTGCAAAGTCTGCAGTGATTTTTCCTTGTGTTTTTTTTCCCCCTGTGTTATGTGAGCTTCCATTTCACATTTTGCTATCATTTATCTATCTTTTCTGAATCACTGCTTTTTTTATTTTGTGATGTCCCTTTCATATTTTGTTGCTTTTTTACCTTTTAAGTTTTTTTAAATTTTGTTTATTTCTTCCATGGAGGTGAGAGGAAACAGGCATCTCTGCCAGGATCCTCATGCTGCAGCCAGCCCAGACTGTAGGCACGCACCCAGAGAAGCCTCTCCTGCCCCTGTGGGTCCAGTATCACAAAGCCTCATATTCCTGCTATGCCACACTCTTGACCCTGTTGCTTGTTCATTTTTAATGTTGCAATGTTGGCTTATAGTTTTCCTTTGCCTTGTAGAAATTTTCAAGTAGCCTGAGATGTTTTAATCTGCATTCTCTATGTTTTCTTATATTTTTCATCAAGCATTTCAGTTTTGTATTTCTTATTTGTATTTAGGCCGCTAACGTGGGATTCATGAGAGGTGGTGGCAGAAAGGGAGTCTGGATGATTCTTAGTTCAAAAGCTTTCTTTTCTGTAAGTGTGGGAAGTCTGTCTTCATAATGAGGTGCCCTTTTTTGTTTTCAGATTTCTTCTTTCTTGTTTGATCTTACCTTGTTTCAGTAAGGCTCTTGTCTTCGGCCCCGTCTTTGTCTTTAGCTCTAGTTGCTGCCTTCCAAGTCCCCAAAACTGTCTTGTGTCCCCATCCCCCCATCCCTGCCCCAAGAATGTTCCTAAGACTATACTTCTCATTCCATATCTTCCCAAGCCTCTTCTCAGTGTTTTGTTGCTAACTTACAACTACTCTCAGTAGTTCTCACTTTAGATGGGACCTTTTCCTTCTGAGAAGAAATCCTGGCTGAGTTGTAACAGCACTGGGAATCCTATGGCTTCTTGGAACTTCTTTGAAGTTCCTGCTCTGTTCTCCACACTAAGACTGGCTCCAGCACTTACTCTGCTGGGTTTTGCTGTTTACTCCTTTGCTTTCTCATCCATTCGTGCTCATAACTCTCCTCTGTCTGTCACAGATCCTGTGGGTATGACTAGGTGGTGGGCATTTGTGTTGCTCTCCTCTTCACTGTGTAGTGTTTTAGGAAATCTGAGACGAGTCAAGGGGGTTGCCATCACTCTTGGGACCTCAAAAACCCATACTCTGCTAATTTTTTTGATTTTTTTCTGTAGCCAGGAATAAGCTGGTGATGCAGCTGCTTTCATTGGTAGCCATGGTGGACTATATTTTATCCCATAGTGAGTGACTGCTAGAACAACAGTCTAATTGGGATAACTCTGAGTAAGTTTGTTTTCTTGTATAGTTTGATAGTCAGTGAAGAAAACTTCCAAACCAAGACAAACATCTCAGGGCATCTCTGTGTTCCCCTTGACCCATTTGAAAAATTCATTCCATTCTAAAAATCTGAGTGTTTCTCTTTTTATGCTCTCTGCTCAAGCAGATACATTAACAATCACTCACTTATGTCTTTAACTGTTTTCTTTTTATAAGGTGACTTAAGAGATTGAGCCAGTATGGTTCAAAACAATGCATGAAACCATGAATAGCTGAAACCATGAATATATCAAAAATAGAGAATACAGGAGAAAAATCATTTTTTTAAAGAAGATTTTACCTTAGGGAACGTACACTTGCTGGAGAAAAACACACACACACTGACAGTGAGAGGGAAAGTAAGAAATCACCCCCTCAGGGGGGATGGCCACACCACAGTCCCTTCTCCTCCATTTTCCCCCTGGAATCCTGGACATACACATGTATGTGTCCAGGCTAAGTTTCAAACCACCAGGTCTGGGACTTGAACCGCTGTTGGTCATGTGGGAGTCCAGCTATGTAACCTTGACGCCGTCAGCTGGTCTCAAGGAAAATTAGTTTTAAGGTTTGAATTATCCAGGGAAGTCAGTCATGTTTACGTCACCGGTTTGATTCTGCAGGAATCAGGTTTTGAAATGAAGTTTAGCATGCAGGATATGTCCTAGGAAGAGAGGGTAGGAAGGAGTATAGATGCAGTGGAAAGTGGAGTTGCAGTGTGGTCCCAGTGTAGGTGGGTCTCTGGAGCATGGGAGTTCTGAAGCCAAATAATCAAAAGCCATTATCTCTGGGTAAGTGGGATCACATATCCTTTTTCAGCTTTGTCTTCATGCATGTCTAGTTTAGTGTTTTTTTTTTTTTTTAAAAAGGAAAATGCTTTTGTACTCAAGGAAAAACAAAGTTTCTGTTTTGAAAAAAAAAATACAGATAATTCTGTGGACAGTATATTTTCTCAGTCATTTAGTACTTAGAATTTCAAAGAGTATAACATTTAGTTTCAAAGCTTCACTGTTATTAATAAAGCTTATATTTGCTTTTCAGCTTGGGCAATGGTAGATGGTGGTTCCAACG